GTTCCCCTCTGACCCCAGAAAGCCTTTATGAAGAAGTAATTAAGTATCCACGTTGTCCAGTTCCAACAGTTTGCAGATAACTCCAGATAACCTTGGTATGCTGACACCTGTGGACTCTGTGCTCGGGTCAAGCAGCGTTAATAATAAAGCAGCACAAGGCACTAAGATGTTTTTGAATGTTGTTGTAGTGAAAAAGGGTTCACACAATCACACAGTTACTAAACTATCCAGCAGTTTATGAGTCAGTCAGTAAATCAGTCACTTGCCCAACCTTCTTTTAGAAACACAGATTTTCCAGCTGGCTGAAGCACTGTCTTTCAATTTCAGGCCTTCATACTGGAACTCGTCAGATTGTGAAAGACATTTTGCCAGCGAGATTAAAGAGGACCATTTATTTTATAAGAGCACACAGTGGTCATTCTCTGTCTGAGACGGCGGCATAAATAGATAAGGGCTGTAAAAAGAGAGAATTACCAGACAACATTTTTTTTTACAGGTTTTACACTACTGAAGTAACACAAATCTGCAGGGACACTGAAGCATAACCAGGAGCTGGTGCAAACCTCTGAAACAACTTCACAGTGACAGAACACATCACACAGAAATGCATTTTTCTTTCACATCAAAACAGGTCACATATGGACGTCTATAGACAAACTGTATGTTTGATGATTTAAAAGGGAAAAATGCTCAATATAATCTCAAAAAGTGTGAGCAGCAACCAAATATAGACTAAAATCTGATTTGTTAAATATACTTGATACAACCTGCACACCTTGACAGTGAATAAGAAACAGTTTTCCTCTTCAGTGTCTTCTCCAAGATGGCTGTCCCTACTGCTAGCCTTGTAGTCACATCATTTCAAACAGACTAAATTAGCTACTTTTGTATTTGCAGCAGTTCGACAAACAAACTGTGTTTTAGTCTTTTGAAATTAGCTTAATAGAATGTGTCAGTATTGAAGTGGATTTTATTTGGATATAGCTGCCAAAGACTGTGGTTTCGCAGGCTTTTCCATGATGGCTTTTTTACACTTAGTTCTTTTCAGGAAGTGGGACACACTGTTAGAAATTCCAGATCGGAGTTACCGTGTGACCATGACATTAACACTAGGGGTGTTACGATCCATCCATCTGGATCGATATATCGATTCAATGATCAACGATCCAGCATCATTCATGCAAAGTGAAAACATCAATCTAAATCGTCATCTATTGGATAGCTGTGTCACTGTCAAACAGCGGCAGATGGCAAGAAGCCGAGAGAAAGATGATGAAGATATTGTTATTTACTGTTAGCAGTGCTGGTTATGTAGCCTGACAGCAGCAGACAGGAAGGACCTGCGATAGCGTTCCTTCACACACTTTGGGTGAATTAGTCTATCGCTGAAGGAGCTCTCCAGAGCTTTTATCTCCTCCTGCAGAGGATGGGATTCGTTAGTCCTTAGAAATGACAGCTTGGCTGTCATCCTCCTTTCTCCCACCACCTGCACAGAGTCCAGAGAGCATCCCACGACAGAGCTGGCCTTCTTGATCAGCTTGTCCAGTCTCGTCCTATCTGCAGCCGAGATGCTGCTGCCCCAGCAGACCACTCCATAAAAGATGGCTGATGCCACCACAGTGTCAAAGAAGGTCTTCAGGAGCGCCCCCTGCACTCCAAAAGACCTGAGCCGCCTCAGCAGGTAGAGTCTGCTTTGGCCTTTCCTGTATAGTGCTGTTATGTGATTAGTCCAGTCCAGTTTATTGTTAAGATGAACACCCAGGTACTTATAAGATGTCACCATCTCAATGTCCTTTCCCTGGATGTTCACCGGTGTTGGGGGGAGGAGTCTGCGCCTGTGGAAATCCACCACCAGCTCTTTGGTTTTCCCTGCGTTGATCTGAAATAATAAATCGGCAGTGTGGAAATAATTTGGATTTCGGAGAAAATACAGGTCAACAGACAGAGTACATGGCATATTTTACAATGCCCTTACAAGATAAAACACGATGTAATGTTATGCTATGGCAACATATGCTATGGCAACATTAGCTGCTCTGTTTCAACAAAGTTTGGCTGAAAAAACATGCAGGCAGGCTGAAATTCAAGTGAGCTGTTCTGTCGGGAGATGTAGTGACTTAAACCAATGGTGAGCAAAAACAGTAATAATGTTATCTGTAATTTGTTATGCTATAAGTAGAGGAAAAACGAGGTCCACTAGGCGCTAGGCTAATTTATGCAATGTAAACATGCCTAAGCTAAAAATGGGTCACTATGGGCAGCTTCTTCTGTACCAGTTGTGTTAAAGGGGCATATAATATCGTGTCATATCGATTGCAGGCCCCTAAATTGCATCGAAACGAAATTATATCGTGGCAGGCATTGTAATATCGGCAAATATCGTATTGTTGTCCAAAAAATTGATATAAAACTGGTGATATATAATTCTAATTACTATTGAGCTAGTGGTTTTATATTTCATTCTTTTCCTTTTACTCTTACAGACTCCATTTGTCCCTGTGTTTACCACATTTAAAGCTGTTACTTTATATGATGACTTATGGTTAATTTTGAACGATGATATTCTCTTTATGTCTAACAAGAAGCCCAGTGTAACTAATCTGACAGCTGGTCTGTAACTTTGTGAATGCAGATTCCTTGTCAATGGGCTAATTCAACACCTTTGGTTATCCATCTTTTTTTTCTGATTTATTATCACTAATTGAATATGCTTTACAATAACTTTATCACGTGTTTACCAGTGTTTCCAGGTGAGCAAGCAGCTGTCTTCAGCCTTTATTGTTGTTTGGCTTGCTGCATAGCTGTGCACCTAAATAGGCAGAGGAGTAGCCAAAATATTTTTAGTCATAGTCATATCAATATTCATTGCTAATGCCTTTTAGAAGTTTCGTGTCAAGACTGTCCTTCAAAATACAACCTCATGGGCTGTTTTTACAAGCAGAAAGTACGATCCATCTTTATGTTTTTTTGTTGGGTGGTGACCTCTATTGGCTGTAGTGCTTATTGCGGGAAAAAAGGAGAAGGTCAGGCAACAATATAAAGATCGAGAAAGTCCACTTAGGGTGGGAGGGAGTTGAGGTGGATGGGTCAAACATGCACCGGACTTTCACCCAGGAGTTAATTTAACAACAAAATATATAATGTCATGTTACGGATTTCACATGATGCACGTCGCGTGAGATAGGTTACCTTACCTCAGTAACAAACGTAGTTATTTTATGTCAAACCATGATGTTTTATCTAAACCTAACCCCATAGTTTTGGTGAAACTGTGACTGGTTAGCCACGTGTTTAAACTGCGACCATTAACAGTCATATGCGCTATTCTGTTCCATCAGTAGGTGCGCAAATTTAAGGGTGCTTTCACACCTGCCCTGTTTGGTTCAGTTCAGTCAAACTCAAGTTTGTTTGCCTCCCCAAGTGCGGTTCATTTGGGCAGGTGTGAACACAGGGTGCACACCAAAACAACTGGATAGAGACCTTCTTGAAGAGATGGTCTTGATCGGGTTACAAACAAACTGTGGTGCAGTTCGCAACTGCAGTCACATGACACATTGTTTGGGTTAAACATGAGCATGTTACAGTCCTGGAGGATTTTTCATGTGCACCTCCTCCTGTACTGCCTTAATATGCACATTCAGCACATCCAATGCATCAAAACATTGTTTTCTAGTTGGAGCTGCGCCTCGTTTTCAAACTGTATGGTTTGACTAAAATGAACAATGACAGCAATATAGTCCACGATGACCAGCGCTAAAATCAACCTGCGTAGTTGTCCCTCCATTGTGACATTAGAAAGTGTCACATTTATCTTGCAAGTGTATTCTTCTTCAACCTTTTGTTTACTTCCTGGATTTTTCCTGCATGAAAATTTGGACCAATCAAGAGCAGCTTTCTCAAGTAAGGCATTTTATCTGGTCAGCTTGTAAATGCTGCAGTGAGAACACGAACCAACTCTAGGCAATTATGCAACTTTGAAACAAATTTAATCCCTGATTTGGACCAAAGCAAGACAACTCTAGGTCTGAAAGCAGCCTAAAAACACTCCTGAAGGTTATTTGGTTGTATGGCTTGGAGGATTCTTTGATCATGTTAGTATTCATTCAGTGGTGTTTCTAAAACTGCTTTAACCTTCAAACTGTTACCCTGCACAATTTATCACTGAGAGGAATAATTGGAATAAGTCGTTGAGAATCAAATAATTAAATGAAGCAGGAGATAAACTGATTTCAGCACACTTGCATAAATGTCTTGAAGGACTCTCAGGGCAAAATGATTGAAATCTTTTCAATAAAATGTTCGAGCTTCAAGTATGAGATACTGTGAAGGATCTTTCCTCGTCTGAAGAAAAAATAAATGAAACTGAAATGCTGCTCTTCCAAAGTGGGTTAAAGACAAGTGAACTTTGGTATCTCTACTTTGTCCTTCAGAAGCTGAATGTGTTTGAGTGGACCAACCTTTGGCCAAACTGACACATAGGAAAAAGCATGACACAGAAACTAGAACCATGAGTAACTGTGGCGTTGGCTGGCAAAATGTCAAGCTAGTAGAGACAATAACACACCCACATATCTAATCAGAGCTGGACATGAAAGAAATAAGGGAGAGAGGCTGTCTGTCTTGGCAGAGAGTTATCTGTGGCTACTAAAAGCTAGCAGCTAAGTGATTACAGACAGGTTTATGAGGACAAGGTTCATTTTAGGTTAAACGTCAGGATTTTGTCCCATCCTAAGACTGAATCGCAGCAGGCTATAAACACCAAGTAAGGCAAATAAAAAGCTATTTGGTAGATGTTCACTAATATATATAGCTGTAGAATATTGATTATATACTTAGCATGTGTGTGTATTGGTGTAACAGTGGGTCTGTGCATGTGTGCCGCGTGGATTCCTTGGCACAAGGTGTAAGTGAGGACAGCAGGGTGAGGCAAGGTGACAGCATGACACGAGCACCTGGACTTTGGGATCATTACAGTGTGGCTTGCTATAAAAGCTGCAGAATCTCACCAGCTGAACACAAGCGCTTCCAAGTGGATACACTTGCAAACTCAGGTAAGATGATGACAAATTAGCTCAGTGTAGCATCTGAGATTTTCATTTCAGAAGTACTTCTTGGTGACCATGCTTTGCTAACCAGAGATACATGTCCATGTTATAGGATTAAACAGCCATGAAGGTCCTTGCTGTGCTCGTCCTAGCCGTTTTCAGTGGTGAGCATGTTGGCAAAATATTCTTTTTTTGGAGCTTGAAAAAGTATCTACTGATATGATCAAGATAAATATCAGGCTGTTATGCATGGCTGAAACATTTCTAACTGCTCTTGTGTCTATCCAAAAGGCTGTCATGCCAACCTTTTCTATGCTGATGCACCCAAGCCACAGCTGGAAGTGCTGACTGATGCCTTCTGGGACTATGTTGCCAAGGCCACCCAGACAGCGGATGACACCCTCCAGATGATCAAGAAGTCTCAGTTGGGACAGGATATCAGGTAGGTCTGACAAGACCATGGTGACTATTGTCGACATGCTTATGATGTTAAAATAAACAGTGGTAACTGACATGCAATCACTCCTGACAATGAACTAAAGACAAACTCATTCTCTCGTCTAGTGCCAGTCTGACAGAGAGTGTTGAGGTGGCCAACAAGTACGCACTCAGCCTCCAGGAGCAGATTTCCCCTGCAGCCCAGGACCTGATCACCAAAGTCACCGCAGAGACTGAAGTGCTGAGAGAGCGCATGAACCAGGAGCTGAGCACCGTCAAGGACAGGCTGCAGCCCTACACCGACGACATGACAGCCCAGATCCAGCAGAGAGTGGAGCAGCTCAAACAGGAGCTGGCCCCCTACACAGAAACCGTGGACTCTGAAGCCCTGAGGACCGCCTTGATGCAGAGGAGTGAGGAGCTGAAGACCAGCCTGGAGCAGACTCTGAAGGACCTGCAGACTCATCTGGGGCCCTACACCGATGACATGCAGGTGAAGGTGGACCAGCACCTGCAAGACTTCAAGGAGAAGGTTATGCCCCTGACCGAGAAGGTCCAAGGCGAGCTGGCTCAGAGAGCCCATCAGGTGAGAGAAATGGCTGCCCCCTACGTTGATGAGGTGAGGGGAAGGCTAGACCCCTACGCTCAGGACCTCCAGAGCCAGCTCACCTCCCTCTACGAGTCCTTCGCCAAAACCAACTAAGTCAACCTCCACCTAAACAGAGAAAACTGTTTCGTATCCCTGGAACACGCCAATGTTTTAACAATGTGAAAACACAAGATCACCAGTTCTGAATGTTGAAATGTCTTTAGATATATTTTTAGTATTAAAACGAAGTATTAAAGATAAATACGGACTAAATAAGTGTTGGTCTGTGACCACACACTGTGTTCTTTTTCTATATTATGTAAATAAAAGTAAAAGCAAAACATGAACTTGTGAGTTTGTTGTGTTGTTTGCAAAGTCCTGATGAAATTTTAAACGAGTGTCCTTCATGAAGCAGGTGAAGACAGAATATCCTTTAAATTCAAATGAAAACAGACAAAAAACAAGTGCAAATCATCAATATTAAATATGGAAATGGAACCTAGAAACTGTGTCTCCAGTGTGGTCACTCACACATGCATGATCGACTAGATTAGCTTTAAATCTGTAAAGAATTAGTGCCATCTGGTGAACATATAGAGTCACTTCATCGTATGTGTTCCTGTGCAGATATGGGCAGCATAGCGGCCTGCCATTTTCAATGTTTGCATTTCACTTTCGACAGTCACAAGAAAGCAAGACATGTTCTAAATCAGCTCCACAGAAAAATAAGTGGGGAATAAATCCTTTCCTGTTTGTTCAGTTCAGGTTGCAAAATCTTGCCCCCCTGCCACGCCCCTCTAAGATTCAGTTGTGGGTCTTGGACGGGGCATGTTCAGGTTTGTCTCTGCAAGTCTGAAAGCTCACATAAACACATCCTGCTTCCACCTTGTTTTTTAGTTTTCCTTTTGTGCCTCCATCCCCGCTGCCAGATCGCTCCCACGCTGCCTTACCCAGTGGCAAACAACATTCCTCTGTTCTGCCCCCAGCTGTCACAGACTACGCTCGCCGTTAACCCTCCGAGCGCACACTCAGCTCTGATCTCTCATTATGTCCGATTATGTGAAGCTTTTTGGTTATATTCCAAATCTGCATGTTAAATGTTGTAATACCTTTTTGGTGTATTAATATAAATGCTTACAGGGTTTTACTGGACTAAAGACCCACCTTTCCCCCTTTCTTTTACTTTTCTTGTTCTCCTCTGTTACAGTTGTTTGGATTGGACCTGCAGCTTTAAAATGTGAGGATTCAGGAATTAAGAACCCCATTATTACATAATTATTCAAGAAAAATAACTTTGTAGATTCTGAAAAGCCAATCCTAAGGAAATGATGGCCAGATAAAAATGAAGAAAGACAAGTGAAAACTTGCATGCCATTGTGGATCACTTATAATTACTTGTGATGTTGTGCAATGTAGATTCTCAAAGCAAGAAACTCATGGCTTTGTTTATGACAAAATAATCTGCTGGTGAATGTTTGTCTTTGTCATATATTCTGATAAATGTATAAATCAAAGGAAGAAGATTTGGAGTACACTGGCATGTTTTGGATGAGTTACATCCTTTGGGCCCTGACACACCAAACCAGCATTGAAGAACCAGTGGCGATAAAAGCTGACTACAACACATTTGTATGCCAACTTTGTCACATATCGACATTTGGTCATGGATTTTTCAAGTCCAGATACAAAGTGTGAGGTACCCTGGGTGCGTTGGTTGTTGACGTTCTGGGATGCCGTGTCAAGCTCTGCCTGTTACATGCATTGTCTTCTTTCAAAAAACACTTCTGTTTTCACCGGAAATTTACCATTAACATACAGTCTCTTTTAAATAAATGCACTATGTCAGTACAACAATGCGAATTGATGTTTATTTGCCTCCAACAACTAATGCACGTGGTTGGGTTTAGGAAAAAAAAGAACAAGGTTTGGCTTTATGATTTTATGGGGTGCTGACCACCACTCTCCCTGGTAAAAATCGGTGTTTGTTGGACCCATCCACCACCACTCCCACCTGCCCTACTTTCGCCGCCTTAACTTTCGTTCTTGTCCCGTGGTGTCCCCTTCTAATGCTGCCAAGCACCGTTAAACTATAATGGCAACCAGCTGCGTATCATGCCGACATTAAAGGACGGCTTCCTCGACAGTGTCTGACGCCGTAAGTCACTGCCCAAGTGTCGCATTTCAGTGTCTTTGGAGTGACACCAGGTTGGTTGCTTAGCCTTAGGTCACCTGTGTCTGTGCACCTACACTTGAACACATCGCATAGACTGCAGCCAACTAGCATGTACGTTCTGCACAAGCGTGAGAGGAAATAACTCTATATCCACAGGCGACGATACTCTATATTCGTCACTCAAAAGGGGAAACCGCAAGACCGACCAGATGGATTCAAGATGCTAGTTAGCTAGTTAGCACATTAACATCACAACCTGGTGCGAACAATAACACAGTTACGAACCATTGTCACTAAAGAGCTCAGTGGCTAAAAAACATGATTAAATCTAATATAACAAGGTTGTTTTGGTCTCGTGCCCTCTTGACTTTAGTTGCTTCTTTGCTCCCCTCACTTCCTTTCACGGTGATTTCATTTGCCGACGAGCTCTGCCTGTGTCTGCTGCCGATTCAATGTGCTGAATTGGGCGAAATAAAGCCGTCATGGGTCGACTAGAGGAAATGGCACAGGACACAGTGCAAAGGTTTGGGTCTGACATTGACCAACGGCTGACCTTCGGCTCGGTGCATCTGGGCCCTTTACTCTGTGTCTGAGTATAAATCAGTCAAGTTTCATTAAATTTTTTCAACTGTCAGAAAATTTCTGAAAGAAAATGCACGAGACAAATAGCTCAACATTTGGGGAAATTAACTTATCAGCTTTCTTGCAGAGAGTCAGATGAAGTTCAATTCCACTGTCCTGTCTATACAATTAATATGAAGCATGAAAACAACTTGGTTCTGTCCGACGCTAAAAGACACACCTATTAACAAGTTATATCACAAGTATTGGATCCAGGCTAGCTGCTTACCCCAAGCCCCCAGGAACAGTGCCAAACAGTACTTTTCCCCATAGATTAACGTTGTGAAAGAGACATCTGTTTATCAGTGGATACATTTTTTTGAGCGTCACCACCTGCACGAAATGACTTGTTTCACTATCAGACTTTGATCCATTTGGTCCCAAAAGATTTCAGCTGTCCAGAAGAGCTGCATGGTTAAATCATTTTATCCCCATTGAAGTTGGCGGAGGGCTAAACTGGGAGTTAGCCGCTTAGCAATCACAAATCTCTGGTGCGCTTGCTCTCTGGGCCCCATGGTGCAGAAGATCTGGGTAAATTCATACCACAGAAATCAAGCTTTTTTTGGCTTCATGCGCCACCTAGCAACTTTCATAGGCATGATCGGAGTCCGGCCTCAAGTGCTGTGGAAAGTTCTCTTTATACATCCATGCTTTCTGTCTTTGTGCTAAGCTAAGCTAACTAACTCTTGGCTGAAGCTTCATTTTAACATAGGCAAAAGAGATGTATCAAATGTATTCCTAAAATGTCAAGCTATTTCTTTAATTAAATGTAATCTATACTAATTTAAAATAACATTCAGCCTAATAACATATTTTAAAGGAACATGTTGCCAACCAACCAAGTTCCTGCACAGCTTGAACTCTTCAGTAGACATGAGGCTTTTGTTTTTTGGCCTAAAAGAATAAGCACACAATTATCCTGCCCTCTTACCCTGAGCACTGTACAGGGAACAACAGCAGGCAGCAGTGTGACTCAAGGTTACCTTTGTTGATGGACACGCATGAGCTGCTGCATGCATTAAACCTGTGACCCCTTCATTACAGCGAGACAATGCTATAAACACACATCAGCCCCACTCAGACATTTGGCTCCGTCGGCACCCCTCCCCCATCAGCTGATAACTCTGACTCAGAACTAGATGATGGGGGGGGGGCGCTGCAGGAAAAACACTCAGTTGTGAACTTGGACGTCCAGTTCAACAACTTTTAACCCACAGACATTAACTGGAGTAACCTCGCTGACTCGTTGAAACAGATGTTTGCCTGTTCAGAGGGATGACATCATCCAGACATAACCAAAAACCAAAATCTTCCACAGAACATCATCAGGCCGGGGTTACTTTTGTTCACACTATCTTAAGATGCCCTTACACACACTGGCTCACAGCAGACGTCGGACATTGCGTCTGATGGTGTAGAGCAAAAGGAGAAGAGAAGCGGCTGCAGTTTAGATGACTGTGTCAGATTTTTTTTTTTTTACTGTATTACCTCACGGTTCTTCTTGAGTCTAACTGTTTCACTTCCTCGTCTGTCCTCTGCCTCTTTATCCTGGAGGTTCAGCAGCAGAAGGCACGGCATTGTGGGTTTGTGTGCTGTGGCCTGTCACCTTCGTTGGTACATGTGTGTAGTGTGGTCGCCATGGTCCATCAAATCTGCACAACACAAACACACGTTCAAGTTTATATCTGTTATCTCCACAGTGGAAATGCATCTTCGTTGCTAGTGACGGCGAACGTTTTACACAGGAGAGTAAACATGTTCCTAACATCTGATTACAGGGTGCAAAAAAATCCTAAAACAAAACAAAAAAGAATCATTGCGTGACAAACTTTATGCAGAATGGTGGGATTATACTACTGATCTTGATTTGTTTGTGTGCTTGAACTGGACTGGACTCGTTATCTAGCTGAACATGCAGTATCTCTCTGTGTGTGACACACCTCCTGCAGTGACACACACACACACTGTTGTCGTGGAATATCAACATCAAAGGTCTTGTTTTTATCACCTAAACGTCTTGACTTTAAACTGGAAATTTTATATTTCATCTCAGTCTTGATTATCATTTAAACATTTTCATTCCTACATAGCTGAACGATGCATTCAAGTACAGCCTCCTAATCACACAACACCGTTGACCCATGCGGGGTTATCACACAGTCATGTTATCATGCTGTCAAACTAATTACCTGACCATGCCATGACCGATTTAAACTTTGTTCCTGTGTAAAGTTGGGTTTCTGTGAAAAATGACAACAAAGAGGCCAAGTCCTAAAGGACAAAGGGTATTACATGCGGGCTGTGATGAAATCAGAGCTGTTGTTTTATCATAACTAACAGCAGAAAAACAAACACTGATACAGTATGTCACGGCTGGTAGGGTAAACATGTGGTGCTCTATTTAAAGTAAGTCACTTTACGGTCATCTTACGACATCAAATCGCAAAATATTACTGTTCATATGGCAGAAGAGTTACAGTATACGACCCTACCTTTAATGTGCTGCTAACAACAGCTCAAGGCTGAATTCATAGAGAGGTGACAGTGGTTCAACATAAGCTGTAATTAAATCACTTTACAATGTATGTTTCAAATTCACAGTTTTGTTCAAATACTGCCTAACCTATAGCTTTCACACAGGGTATGGCATTAACCTCACTAGTTTCTGGTTTGATGTTATGTGTGATCAAACGGTAAAGCTCACACTGTGAATAGGGAAGTCGGTCTTTGAGTTCGTGCAATCTTCGTCAGAACAGAAAAATATATTTTTTTGCTCATGTTCTGCTACTAAACAAATGTATTGCCCAATAACCTGAGGTCAACTCTTTCTTTCTGCATCAAACATCCCCTTTCCTGTGCCTATTTCAAAATCGTGGAAATTTCTTCCTCAACATCAGAGCAGATATGATTTCAGTTTTGTTTTTGTAGAATTACTTCTTTTGTTCAGCGTCGGGTTTACAGGTAATAAAACACTTCATGTTCTCTGTATTTTATTACCTGTAATCCTTCTTTTGTAAAGTGGGCTCGCTGTACCTGAGTGTCCCCCAAGCCCCAACATGCCCACCTCGTGCTGACAGCTTCAGGCGCTAACTGGTAATTTAAAGCTCTGTGCTATGAAAAAGTACAAATACAGTACATAGAAAATACTCTCTGGTGCATATGATCTTAAGACAGAAAACTCACATATGCACCATTCACGGCTTGAAATATGTGAGTGGGATTGACATGCAAAGAGGCCATATGTGTTGGGGGTTGTGTGTCTGTGGGGGGCGGATACGTGGGGTGTCAGTAGTCGACGCTGCATTTCAATATGGATTGAAATGCATGTGTGAAAGAGTTGATGCTAATGATCCGGCAACAACCTGCAAAGTTGTGGTCACTTGGCAGAAAACCTGCGATGTTCAGAAGCAGGAGAATGGCTCAAACAAGTTACCTGCGTAAAAGTAGCCATACCACCATAAAAAAAAAATAATATTAACTCAAATTACACTTTAGTATCAAGAGCACAGATGTCACTTGTGAAATTACAGTTTTGGTCACACACTGTTGCTAAATCCATGTCCTTTATATACAGTTGCATAACGCTCTGAATCATTCCATCACGCTTAAAAGCTACTCATTCATCTGATAAGTGTAAAAAAAAAAAGTCTTTTTTTTAGTTTTCAGTGACGGACTGCAACTACGTACATTTACTAAAGTGGTTTTATTTTTTAGCATGTGTCCTTGTTATGCATTTTATTTATTTTTTCCCCCACTTTGTTGACTGGATTTTCAAGTAGAACAACATTATAGGATTATTGCACTTTTAAATTGTTTGGCAAAAATGGAAAAATAGAACATTAACAGCAGCAAATGAAAAAAAAACAGACAAAAAACAAACAAAACATTTAAAACAAGAATTTACAGGTCAGTTAGATGAAAATTTAACAAGGCAGGCCTCTTGCATAGACAACAGAAGATGTATTAATCTGGAGGGGCATTTACTCGAGTATTGTACTTGAGTAGATTACACATGTAAGATCACTGTGGTTTAAATGAGTGTTTAATTTTTATGCTATTTCCACTCCCCAAAGGAAACATTGCGCCTTACACCGCACCACGTCGATATTCTTTATTTGGCAGCCTTATAGTGACTTTACAGATTCACACAAATCATGTGCTCCGCTTGAAAATAGTATATAAGCAGTGATGTAATGTAACATAGTACTTAAGTATTTTTTGAGAGTATGCAACTTTACTTGAGTTTTTATATTTCTGTCACCTTTTACTTTTACTCCAATGCATTTCCCTAAAGGATCTTCATTGCTTATTGATTGCAAAATAAAGGAGGGAGGGAGGAAAGGAAATGAAGGAATGGAAAAACTGGATTTTGTTTTTTAAATTCTATAAGTTGTGAAAAAGACCCTTTTTTCCTTGAAGTATAATTTAGGCTCCATTTTAAGTAAAAAGAAGAAATGAACTTCATAATTCTCCAAATTCTGACCGATTGCTTTTTTATGAACAGCTTTTACTTGTACTTCAACTTTCAGTACTTCACCAGATATATATATGTAATATATATAATATTGTAAAGCAGGTTTATCTCTCCTGTCTTACCTATGAACATACCAGTTACTGAATTAACTACCAAAGGAGGTGATGTAAGAGCACAGGCACAGCTCCTATGTGTAACTTGATCCACTTTAATGTCCCAAAAAGAACGTGGGACAACTGAACATCCACAACAATAGTGGCATCTCACATCTTCCATATATCACTCCGCCAAACTTAATCCTAACTCTCATTATCCGCACATAAGGTGCGTGATATTAAATAGTTCCAAATTTAATGTAAAGATCAAAATAAAAATATACAATGCAAAATAATGAACAGCGAAAAACAAGACAATCTAATGGATACTTCCTCACGATAATAAATCTCATCTTACAATATCATAAAATTAGTTTACATACTTAGGTAGTTCACTCAAATAATATTGTAACAGAAGACCTTAACTTCCACCAAAGTCATTTTATGGTAAAATATCTGTACTTTTACTTTTAATTTGAAGTAGATTTAATATAATAAAATTAGTGTTGTAGTGTATATATATTAGTACTTTTACTCAAGTAATAGTGTAACAGATGACTTTAACATTAATACTTTCTATTTGCTGGTAAGATATCTGTACTTTATTTTACAATTAAATAGATTTAATATCATAGAATTAGTTTTGATACTTAAGTAGTTAGTACTTCTACTCAAGTAATATTGTAAAAGGTGACTTTAACTTCTACCAAAGCCATGTTGTGGTAAGATATCTGTACTGTTACTTTCAATTTTAAGTAGATTTAATATCATAAAATTAATTTTGATACTTTAATACAGTAAATATTAGATACATGAATACTGTTACTCAAGTAATATTGTAACTTGTGACTTTAACTTCGACCAAAGTCATTTTCTGGCAATATATCTGTACTTTTACTCTAAATTTGAAGTAGATTTAATTTTATAAAATTAATTTTGATAATTAAGTACAGTAAATATTAGATATATTTGTACTTTTACTCAAGTAATATTGTAACAGATGACTTTAACTTCTAGTCACTTTCTGGTAAGATATCTGCACTTTTACTTTCAATCTTGAGTAGTTTTGATATCATAAAGTTGGTTTTGATATTTAAGTAGTTGGTACTTTTACTCAAGTAAGACTGTAAAAGGTGTCTTTAACTTCTACCAAAGCCATTTTCTGGTAAGATATCTGTGCTGTTACTTTAAATTTTAAGTAGATTTAATATCATAAAATGGATTTTGATACTTAAACACAGTAAATATTAGATACATGATTACTTTTGCTCAAGTAATATTGTAACGTGTGACTTTAACTTCTACCAAAGTCATTTTTTGTTAAAATATCTGTACTTTTACTCAAATGTTGCGTTCAGGTACTTCATCCACCCCTGTAAATAAGGCCGTTCAGGGTTCAGCTCTATGTTGAGTAGCACATCTCATGTATTTTCACCTCTGAGTGGACTAAAGAATAAAGCAGCACATAAAGTATCCCTAATTACTTCACCAGAACATGTACTTTACTACTTTCTACATCTGGCAGCAACACATTAAAGTTTCGCTGCTTTTGAAATTTTGTAAATTCCGCTGTGTTAAAAACACAAACACTGAATGTCAAACTTTCACCCTGTTACTCTCGTTGCAGTCTGATTGCTCAATCACCCGCTCACACAATGCAATGGAAATGCAAATCTGTGAGAACTTCGGACGTGGTGTTGGTGCTGGCAGGTTGCGTGGAGGCAAACAGGAATCTGTGCGGACAAATCATCATCACCACGTGAACGCGCGCCTCCTCCCCCCCTCGCGCCACACGCGCAGCAGCAGCAGCAGTAGTCTCCTGCCACTGTATAAAAGCCGTCAGTCACCGTCCAGGGAGCACGGAGGAAGCTCAAGCTCACAGGTGAGTGGAAGGAGCGCACCGAGACCTCGTGGCTTCTTATTAAATACGACTTTATGCAGAAGCTGCTTTCTGTTAAGGTTGTTTTTTTCTGTTTAATGCTCAGATAGAGGCTGTGTTTATTTACATCTGTTAAAACTTTGACTGAATTGCTTTCTATGAAACATTTTCTTGTAGTTAGATGGAGTTAAAAATCCATCTCTGCTGCATATACTTGCATTGTTGTTGATTGCTCACATTTCTCCTCCTTTAATGCACAGGTGTATCTGTCCAACAATCATGCAGGCTGTTGCTTTGATCCTCGCTTTGGCAGTCATCACAGGTAAGTGCACTACTGATAGAAGACTAACGTTAACTATTTTTTTATCAAATCTGATGTCTAACCACTTCACATGTTCCCACAATAGGCTGCAATGCCCGTGCTGTGCGCCAGGCTGATGCCACCCCAAGCTGGGAGGACAGCGTAAACCGCTTCTGGCAGTATGTGGCTGACCTGAACGATAAAGCCGAGGGAGCTGTGAAAGACCTCAAGGCCTCTCAGCTCAGCAGGGAGCTAGAGTAAGTGAACTTTATCATCCTCTTGTCGACTTTTCAGTGAGCTTCACTTCCACGTTGTCTCTTTCCTAGTTTATACATTTGTCTGTGATTTCCAAATCTTGTCCTCCCTGACCTCTCGGTATGCTTACATTTGCCCTCATGTCTAATCATCTTGTTTTCCTACTTCCAGCACTCTGATCACTGACAGCATGGCAGAGCTGACAGCATACAGAGATGAACTCCAGACCAAGCTAGCCCCCTACACTGATGCCTCCACCGGCCAGCTGTCTCAGGACCTGCAGCTCCTGGCCAACAGGCTCCAGAAGGACATGGTCGACGCCAAGGAGCGCAGCACCGAGTATCTGGGTGAGCTCAAGACCATGGTGGAGCAGAACAGTGACGACGTCCACGGCCGCATCACCACCTACTCCAACAAGCTGAAGAAGCGCCTGAACAAGGACACAGAGGAGATCCGCAAGTAAGTTTTGGGGAGGCTTGTGCACTTTTAACTCTTTCTTGTCTTTGTTAATATGAACTCTAAATGTCTTTTTCTTCTACCCTCCTCACCTCAGCACTGTGGCCACCTACCTGGGTGAGCTCCAGTCCCGCACCAACCAGAACCTGGATGCCATGAGGGAACAGGTTGAGCCCTACGTCCAGCAGGCCAGTGACACCGCCATCCAGAAGCTGAGTAACATTTCAACCCAGCTCATGATCCAGGCTGAGGGCTTGGGCAAGCAGCTGGAAGACCAGGCTGAGGGCATCAAGACCCAGCTGGAGGCCACCGCCCAGGACCTGCGCACCTCCCTGGAAGGCAAGATCGACGAGCTGACACAGATGCTCTCCCCCTACGCCACTCAGCTCCGTGAGCAGATTGAGAACGTCATGGATAAGGTCAAGGAGACCACCACTTCTTAAAGACAGACTCTGATTTCTTATCACCCTGGCAAAGAGGGGGGAAGAGGGGGAGTTGAGAGTTACTGATGATATCTTCAGTGGGGTGCTTTTTTGTTAAGGATAAGAGGGTTGATGAGCTGAAGGAGGGAGGATGAGGTGTATCTTTTACAGAGCAGTCAGCAGCTAAACGTCTGTTTGGGTTCTTCTGCACAGTCACCCTCTCTTCTCTTATCAACTCCCTTCATCACTGAACACAGGCACCCCAGTCAATAACAGCCTTTAATACACAAACAGGAGACAATTATTTGTAATATGCTTAGCTTTTCTACTTTTAATCAACTGTTCTAGCTGCCTTTCCTCCCCAAAACGTTTTGTATTGAATTTTCTACATTTTGTTTGGTTGTAAATATAACTGCTGAGCCTCATAGGCAGGGATCCAAGCCCATATCATCCCTAAATGCACCAAACACAAGTGTCTTTCATTTCAATAAATGCACTGAATAATGCTGACGATCAAACGATACATACAGTAACGTGTGCGTTTTTTATTTCTAAAGGTGAACCACTAAAATGCCCTTCTGTATTGTTTGCATTTCATGTTGTGCTTCGCAGAGAAGTGGAATGTAAAATGACTCCATGCATTTCTGACAAGTGTAATGCTGCCTGTCTGTTCTTCAGTCTCTCGTGAGTCACATGTCATATGCCCACCATGCTGCTCACTGTAAGTACACTGTCGGTGCGCTGAACAGTGCTGAGTGAATAAAAAAAACCTAGAAAAAGACGCTCTGCTTCCGCTGCTTGTTTTTCCTCTGATCAAACATTAAAGAGTGATCTATTATTTAGGGTGAGGTTCAGTTACACTTACAAGTCTTCACAAAGCTAATGCTGGTCCAGTGGTGTATGTTTAGCCTCAAAAGCAGTTTGAATATGTCTAAAATAATCTCAAGAAGAATTGCAGTCTTACACATGTGCTATTACTATATCTTGAGCAGCCTATGATAGACTTAAATCAATACACATTACATTTATCACTTGTTGGATATAATGTCAGGGGCTAGTTATATAAAGCATGTACCTGAAGCACTTATACACCTCCTAATGCACACACACATGATCACAGAGGCCCATGTCTTCTTTGTTTCATCCAGTCTTAACTTTTGTGACAGGAGCAATGAATCTAGCTCTCTGTACCTGTACTCCACCCAAAGTTTCGGTCCGCTCTCCCCATACAAACAACCCCCCCACAATTTCTCAGCGTGCTATTTCTAGCCCAGACTTGTAAAGATGTGTTCCCAGATTCCTTTCTCTTGATCCATGCAGGCTTTTAGGAACACGCTGTGCCCTTCATTGAATTCTCATTACGGGGACACTATCATTTCCACCTTTATCTCGGCTCAGATCACATTATAAGCCTTGCATCAGAGCGTTTACAAACACATAGATGTGCTCAGACACGCCAATAAGATAGTCCTACGAGCACAGATAGGGTTTTCAGACAGTGTGCCCACATGCACTTCTAAGTTTGCAAGCATGTGCATCCTGGTGGCCTCGAGGTTAAGATGCATATCATTAAACTGCAGTATTAGTTTCTGGAAGGAGTTTGCTGTCTGTCTTCCATCTGTCAGATATTGAATAAAGGCAAAGTGCCAAAAAAGGATATGTTTTCTGACAGGTCTTACAACCATTAAAGGAAAACTTCACCCACATAATGAGCCTTTTTTTTATATCAGTAAGGCCCAATCCCAATACCCCCCCTTGTCCACTACCCCATAGCCCTTGGCCCTACCTCTAGCCCTTGCCCACTACCTTGGGGTAGTGGGCAAGGGCCTCGAAATGAAGCGACGAGAGGTAGGGGTTGAAATCATGTATATGTAACTATTTTAAACAGGAAGCTGTGAGCCATCTACATTTCCAACCAGCATCTACAATGGGGCTCCAGGTGAGTCCATCCTACCGATTGCGTTTACTGTATTCATCATGCTTTGTTTGATGAATGACAGACGGCGAAATGACATGTACAACTGGGGACTTCTGCTAGCTAGCTAACCAGCTAACATTACGAGCACTGGTGTGCTATCATAATGTGAAAAATCCGACAATTTTGCTGAACAGGACAGATGACAGATGCCAGATAGTGCGAGCTAGCTAGCTAGCTAACAAGCAACCTGACGACGGTGAGGTTAGCTAGCTGGCTAGCTTTCTGTCAACTCCAATCCTGACTAGCAATAAAAAATTGGTATACCGTTCTCTACAGAAATACACAGTTATTCGAAAACGTTTTCACAAAAGTTCCATGTTTATTTGCGAAATTATAGGTACATGTATGAACTTTTTTCCCTGTCTCTTGCTCGGTGGTAGCCATGGCGACGTCTACCCCTTGCTGGCAAGTCAGCATCTGTAATCCCTCGCTCCGAAGAGCTAGTTTCATACCCACTACCCCTCGTTATGCCCCCTACCTCTACACGCAAAAAGGAATTGGGACACCCCTACCCCTCGCGGGAATGCGCAAATCTAGGGGTAGGGCCAAGGGTTAGGGCTAAGGGGGGTATTGGGATGGGCCCTTAGTCATGGTGTGCTACTGTAAATTCATACAGAAAACTTGAATTCAAAGTATGACGAACGATTTATTATATAACATTATTAAGTACCAACAGTGAAACTATATAAAAACATCTCTTTACAAACTCTCACACAGCTCGTGCAGTCTAACCCTAGTCTCATTTATCCAGTCCTTTATCATTATCACTACAAAAACCCTTTTACTGGAGTCTGGCTGTGAAGAGAGCATGAATAAGTTTCCCTTTCAGTCTAGTCTTAAGTAATAAGGTTGGAAAATTCATGTGTTTGGGAAGTACTGAGAAAACAAGTGGATAAATGGGACTTGGACTTCTCCATGAATGCAAGGTTACACAGCATGACTAAGTGACACACAAATGGTCATGTTGTGTGTGAAGCATTCCTTGAAGAAACAAATCCGTCCCCAATCGGAAACCTTCCCACACAATAGTGACTGCAAGGGATGTAAATCCAAAAGAGATTTTAGGCCTGCAACACATCTGAACGTGCATGAGAGGAAAAGATGAGTATGATTGTCCTAAACTCAGATCACTCACTTGTCCAATAATAATAATAAAAAAAAAAAATTATGCTTATGAGACCCAGCAGGATTTTTCCTTTGAAGTGCAGAGCAGAGGCCAGCAGAGGACACCATTTGTCCCTTGATCATATCCTCTCCTCTCCTCTGACCCCTCCGCTTGAATCCATGCCGCACCAAGATGCAGCTGTGTTTTCGTTTTTGGGAGATAAAGTAAACTACATTCGCCTCATAAAGAAACACAAACCTTGTGAGTTTCAAAAGCAGAACACACATACTTTTCCAGGGATTTTAATCAAGGAGCTAGTGACAGCTCAAAAGTCTTTCTGAGGTGTGTAAAATTAAGATAGAAGTATGAAATAAGAATTCATGACAACTTGAGAATTAGTCTAATAAAACTGATACTTGCATGTCATGATAGTGAGTTTGAGCTGGGCTGTTACTGTGGCCTGAGGGTCTGCTACTGAACATCCATAGATTGAATCAGACTGGAGACCTTTGTTGGATATCAGCCGTCTCTCTCTGTCCTCACATTTCCTGTTAAACTACCTACTGTATGATATCAAAATTAAAGGCAAATGCCCCAAAATAATCTTATGTAACATGTATAATGCTAAGTTAGTTGCACATTGGTCTCTGAAGTCAATCATTTATTAATATAAGCCTCTCTCCTTTACAAAACAACCTCATCGTGTCGCAAGAAAACATGTTTACCCTTTCTGTCTGTGTTAAAGGGCATTGCATGTAAAGTGAAAGAATGACTAACACCATGACTATGTGTTTGTGCCTTATGATATCACTCCTGTCAGGAACCTGTGTTTATTTAGAAACAGACAAGTGAAACTCCTACATTAAACTGTCTGTTGTTGCAAGGAGCAGTCATGGATGGTAAAAACAGGAAAACCACAAGCATCCTGCCAGATCAGCACTTCTGCTCCGTCTGCTCCTATAGGGTGTCTGCACTCTGAGTACTGCCCAGCAACTAATAAAAAAAAAAAAAAAAAAGTCCCAGCAAACTCACAGGTGCTAGCTAGCCCATGACTGCAAGTAACCCTCCCAAAAACACCCCATGCAGAGATTTTACCTCCTATTACACCCCCCCCTCTCTTCTTTCCATCCTTTCCTTCCCCTTCAGAGCTGGCACACAAAATCAGTCACCACAGGAGCCCTCGGCCAAACACAAAAACAGCCTCTTTGTAAGCTTGTTATTGCAAATTGGGAGCACGCAAGACGTGCACTTTCACACCGTGTGCCTCCTACAATTATTCAAGAGAAGCTCATATGCACGCAAGCACAAGCTCATACATAAACTCACTGGCCACTTCATGACAAAAGAGATGGAGATTTAGCCTTTCAGAGGTAATGTGTGGGTGTTGAGGCATGTGAAGGCGCATTTAACTCAATTGTGGGCTATTCATCATAGCGTTAGCACCTTATAGGCTGAGTCATCAGCAACAAATGGGCATTTGGCCCTTTGCAGCAGACCACTCGGTGTGAAAACAGGTATGTTAAGCAGTGATGAAGCCTTCAGACCATCAGACACAGACTTCCTGGCGCTAACTCAGCTCACACTTGTAATGAGGGGTTACTGCAGTTCATCTGACTGTACTGTTTTTCTGTTGCATGCTAACTTACAAGATGGACCATGGGGCATTGTCTGACCTGCTTCCCTTTAAAAAAGGGAAGCTCTGGATAAAAGAGAACTTTGAATGAGACAATGGGATTCTTAGAAGAACAGCAAAGGGACAAAGTACAGCAACACAGGATAGCAGTCTGCTTCAGAGTGAAGACTATCACCTCTGCCCCATTAACTAAATACATTCAATACATTCAATAAGGCCAGGGTGTAAAGTAACTACATGCTGTGGTCTACATTTCCAGGTACTTGTACTTTACTTGAGTATTTCCATTGTATGCTTTTATGCTTCTAGTCCATGACATATCAGATGGATTTATTGAATTTATACTACATAGCTACCAGTTAATTTTCTAATGAATATTTTACAAACCAGAATACCATCATCTTACTGCATAGTCACAGATTCATTCATAATTCAATTGAATTTAGCTCCACTTTGATCAAATCAATATTTTGGTATTGCTTGCTTGTAGTTATTGCATCTATAATAATGATACTTAAACCTCCAATCAGAATCTCAACTCAACTCAACTTTATTTATAAAGCGCTTTAAAACAACCACAGCTGAAACAAAGTGCTGTACAGAGGTCATAAAACAACAAAACAGTGAGATAATATAAATGAATCAGCTTTATCGGGCGAGTATGTGTACACATACAAGGAATATTTTTCAGTAAGCAGAGTAGACATACAGCTATAAGCAAGGACAACAAGCTATTACTAATGTCATGGAAAGGAACAACAGTGCCAACCTACAATATGTGGCTATGTGACCTAACCAGCACACTACATTTGGAAAGGATACGATGCGTCTTGAAGGGCAGACTCTCACAATACACCACAATCTGGCATCCTCTCATATCACACCTCGCACAAAGTACAGTTCCTGAGTTGTAACCCACTTCTCTGCAATATTCTATTCTGATTATGACTCTATGAGTGAGGCAACAGTGAAGGATAAGGGAATAGAAAGGGTTAAAGAAGTCCTGTATCTAGACTCCCCTTCATTTTCCCACATTTCCCCAACACGTATGCACTAACTAAACAGC